TGGTAGTAGTGGTAGTGGTGGTGATGGTGATGGCAAGAACAACGAGTGGGTGGCTGTTAATGGCTGAGTGGTATGACCTCAGCCTCAGATACAGCTTCAGCTGCTTGGTAACATGCTTCAATAGAAGGCAATAGGAACAACAACAACAGCATACGAGCTTGTTTCTACTTCCCTACTATATACATACATACATAAGTGTTTATGTATGAGAGAGAGGACGAGAGAGTTATTTGCTACATACATGCGCATGTTAAGTGCGCTCATTTATAAACAATAAACAAAAATAGTGGCAACTAGACAAGAGGGAGGGGGTCGGGGCGACTGCCGGATGAAAAGCGCGTGCACATGTTTTTAATTGGCATTTACATTAAACATTAGTGTGCTTGTGTGTGAGTGACTGCAGAGCTTTTCCTTTTACACAGTCAAAAGTTGCTCTCTTTTGACAAGAGAGACAAACATATGTTATTAAGTGGCATCTAGAGAGAGAATACATTTATAAAGACGAAGAGAGCGCGGGGGCGTACATGAATGTTTAATTGTTATGCGGCTATTAAGGCATTTTAAATGCAATTATGTTTAATAAAATTGACACTAAAGTAATTTAGAACACGCTTGGCAACACCTACACACATACATATACAGAAAGTCGTACATTGTCTGTCAACGAAGCTGCATGCGAGCTTATTAATGTGCGAAAGAGTGCGTGCAACTATGTGTGTGTGTGTGTGTGTGATGTGCCTAATGAAAACAAACAAGAATATAACCAAGTGATTTACGTCACTGCAATAGTGCTGCCAATTACCTTTGTGACCGCTACTTCTGAGTGCTTTAATATAAGCTCAGATCTATCGCAATCGGATTTTTTTAAATGTACTATTGGATTATCGATGTTTTGTTTTTTCATATATTTAATGAAGAAGAATTTGTAGCCCAGAGAAGAAAGCATTCAACACCCTTCATCCTATAAAAGCGGACTTTGAGAGCTTAGTTCCTTATTGTACATGATTTGTACTTCTAGCTTGTTTTCTAGCACACTAATTGGCAACACTGCACTGCAAACCAAGAGAGCGCTTACGAGAACAAACACCAAGAGCAATTGTAAAGAGAAAGGGCGATATTTAGGTAGAGAGGGAGATGCAAAAAGCCGCTAGTCTGAGACAAATAACTGAAGAAATTTTAATTAGATAAAGTGAATTTGTTTCCATGTGGTTGTTGTTGTTATTTAATTTAATTCGCAAACGGCTAACAAAGCATTGGGCACGAATGTATATATGTATGTATGTATGAATGTGTGTACTTGAAATATTCGTGATGCATGACCTCAACCCAAGTAACATCGAGGGGGTAAATAGCTAAAAGTACAATAACTTTTCACTAAAATAGGCGAACCGATTCTCTACGCAAGGGCAGAGGCAACGGCTGAGGGCAATGGGTGTTTGGCTTGTCATTCAATTGAGGAAGTTTGTTGTTTTCGTTTCCAATGGTTTGCCAAAGCTTTTTGTTCACAACTCATTTGCACGTTTGTATGCGTGTAGGCACATAAATAAATATGTATGTATGTAATTGCAAACGGTCAGCGCGTGTTTTGTTTTATGAGTTTGTACACACAAACATACATATATATGCACGTATGTATGTATGTATAAATGTGTGTAGTTGCTTTATTGAATTGTATTTTTGTTGGTGTTTTACTTGTTTTAAGGTCACAGAAACACAAACACACACTCGCTCACACACACGCGCACATGTCACGCTACAAACAATTAAATATTAACGAGTGACCTTTCTGTACAATTTTGTCTATCTATAAGTGTGACCTTTTTTACCGTTAAATGTTACGTTGTCGCGTAAGTAGTTAAAAATTTAGTGACAGCCGTTGGTATTGCTAGTAAGACGACGACGCCAACGTTCTACAACTGCGACTGGCGACTGCGACGACACACACACACCACACAGCAAAAAGCACACACAATCTACTCGCTACGCGCAGCAGCTGACGACTGAAGAGCTTTTTCTTGATTTTTTTTTGATTCAAACTGTAAATGCGGCGTTGTTTTTTTTTTGCTTTTTAACTTTGTTTGGCTTTGCATTTGTCTTTGCGAAAGCTTGTTTTAACTTTGCGCTCTCAGCTGCTGCTGATTCTGCGGTTCGAGTTGTTGTTGTGGTTGATTTTGTTATTCTCGTATGCTTCTGTTTGAGGCCCTAAACCGCAAAACGATTGCCAGAAGCGGCATTGCCAGCATTTTTGACTTGAATAAAATAAGTAAGCTTGGTTGGCTGGCTTATCGTTCAATTCTTACCACTAAGATGCATTTACTCTCATAGATATAGTATATACATATGTAATGGTAAAATATATGGAGACGTAGGCAAATCTTAAAAAATGAGCAAAGCTCAGTACACACTACGACTGGAGAAAATTTGTATAATTCACACTTAATTATCATCACTTAAGCTCCCAACACTCACATGAAACTGAACCTTCAAATTATTAAAGAAATGTTTTGAGATTAATGGACCAAACATTGATTTCAAGGCTAGTAATGACTGGCTTGGTTATTCGAATATAACGATGTGGAATACATTTTCTTGTTCATGAATAAAAATAAAGGCCAATTAGAACGCTGCGCAATTTTCGTAGCAAAAATTGCTAACTATTACGTACGAGTGTAAATTGCAGTTTCCAATCTTTATTGAAGATACAGATACATATAGTATTCAGGTAATCAAAAAATCAAATTTAATAATTCAGGTAACGATTAATGAGAAACATTTCCACTGACTGTTACACAAAAGATGGGATTGTGCTACACCATAAGACTTAGGAGCTGTTTGAATTCGTCGTTGAGCACTCACCTGTTTTATTTTTAGCAGCTACTGTTGTTCCTGTATGGGTCCTTACAGGCTGAGCAGCAACAACAACAGCAGCAGCAGTCAAGGCTGGAAAGGTGATACAAAGATAAAATACAAATGGATTAGCATTATGTGGGGATATAATAATGTCAATTCAATTATATTTATATTTAACCCATTTGCGAGTCCCTCATTCTCATTCGCATGCTGCATACTCAGTGTGTGGATTAACAATATTATTTGCATAAAAAATAAACAAAAATAAAAGGTTCAACGTCTTTAACTTTTGCGGTTGCCTTTGCGATCGTTGCTCATAAGCAGCCAAGTCGTTGCCGTTCGTCACAAAATGAAAATGGAAAAAAAAACGAAAACAACGATGAAAATTATATTAAATAAAAAAAGCAACTTTGGTAGCGTTTCAAAGTTCTCAAGTGAACAACCTGAACAAAACTTCGATTGCCAGCTAAAGCCACAAATAAAGAACAACGACAACAGGTCAATGGGAACTTCGAAAGGTGGCACGCGAAACGTTGAAACGTTGCTAATAAGTATACATATATCGGATATCCATCTGTATGTGTGCACGTACAGTAATGTGAAAAATAATAAGGACACATTGAGGAGGAGAAGTGAAACAACTGTATTATTAAAAGTCACAAAGCTAATCCTTCAATTTGTATAGAAGTATATTTGTCCCGAAATCTCTGTTAGGCGATCTAACAAATTTTAAGATGACAAACATTGACCGATAACTCAATTCGCGAGTTCTGTACCACCGGAATCATTACTAATCAACTATAGTATTAACTCGCAACCGATAATCTGAGTTGTGCTTTTATTATAAACAAAATATTATATTTCGTAGCTTTGGCCCTTGAGTCTGTTGATACCAAAAATAGTAAGTCATCGTGACAGCCTTCTAGGTGACGTATATCGGCTATTGATTCCAGCACTGACTCGAAAATATTTCACATACTGTTGTGCATTAATCTGTATGCCAGGGTTATGTGGTTATCATTTAAAGGTACTATAGATAGTGCGCCACAAAGCCACCTAAAATTTATTTACATTTTTATTACTATATGCGAATGAAGTGATAACGCTACAGATACATTATCTATTGTAGCGCCACAATCGGCACGCTTCTGAGCTTTGATAATGTGATAGATAGAAGCGAACCGATAAGTTTAACGAATACGGATAACAACATTCTTTAAAGGGACATTAACAAGTTTATACAAAAAAAAAAAAAAGCTCAGAAACATGAGACACATGTTAATACTCTTACAAAAAAGTAGATCAAAAATTGTGAGGTTTCAATTGAAATATTTAAGAATTAAAGGAGCCTTCTAGCTAGTCTAAGAGTGCTTCATTGACTTGTTGTTTAAGTGTTTGATCTTTCGAACATGTGAGCATTTTCCAATAAAGGATTTGTTGCCGAATATATGCACAGGCTTGAGGAGAAACTACATGCCGAGTTTGGCATTCCTAGCTCTAATACTTTCTGAAATCCTGGCGGTCATACAGACAAACATATGAACAGTGTATATCGTCCATCCGTTATAGGGGTTGTCAACTGTCATTGCTACATAATGTTATTTGTTTTGAATCCAACTTAGCCATTTTCTCGTTAGTCTGAAAGTATTATTTCAATAGTGCTAATAAGCTAAGTCTATGGGAATCAAATAAATAGTTTGATGTCATGACTTTCCTGGTAAGCGTGTATGGCATAGCTAATTACATGTGTAAATAGGTGTGATATTTTGCAAATCGCCTACCTCGATTGCATGATTTTAAATAATCAACGATTTATTTTTATAAACACATACCTAGCCATTTATTAAGTATTCTATTACGTATCATTTATATTATTATCATTATTGAGACAGTTTGTGCAAGTCATAGTGAGTGTTTGCAGATTCTCCGCCTGGGATCATCTTTAACAGTCGATTCAACAGCTTGGTAGCCGAGATAACACTGATATATAGCCACAGTCAACCAACACTCGGTCACATCCCTTTGTGATGAGAGTCCCAAGCTCTCAGACTGCCCCACTCAGAACGAACGCGATAAGGTTACGGTGAGGGTATGATTATTATAAATCGCACTAGAGCTTCAACAGTTAGTATGAAAATTTCGCTCTAAAGGTGCACACGAAAAGCGCAATGATTTGGCTACTGCTGTTGGTCAGTGCTCTGACGCTACTCTACGTCTATCTGAAGTGGAACTTCAGCTTCTGGGAACGCAAAGGGTTTCCCTCCGCTGCGACCAATATACCTTTTGGTGCCCTGGACTCGTTACGGCGCGGCAAGCGGTCCTTTGGCACGGCCATTTATGACGTATATAGGGCAAGTAAGGAGCCAGTTCTGGGAATTTATCTAACACTGCGACCGGCGCTACTCGTACGCGATGCTCAGCTGGCACATGATATGTTAGCCAAGGATTTTGTTAATTTTCACGATCGTGGCGTTTATATCGATGAAGAGAAAGATCCCATGTCGGCCGGCTTGTTCTTTTTGAGGGGCAGTCAATGGAAGTCTCTGCGTACAAAAATGACGCCATCGTTCACGTCCGGCAAACTTAAGGCCATGTTCGGTACGGCTGAGGCGATTGCCGATAAAATGGTGGAGCATTTAGATAGCATAATTCCCGAGGAAGGCAGTGTAGATGTTGAAATGAAGAAACTGATGACTACGTAAGCAGATATTTTCATGAATTTGCAGCCTAAATTTATGTGCGAAATTACAGCTATGCTATTGATATAATTGGATCGACCATGTTTGGACTCGATGTCGATAGCTTCGCACATCCAGACAATGAATTTGTGTCCATAAGCCGACAAATCAATAGACCGATTTTTAAAGATGTCATCCGAGGCACAGCACAGTTCTTATATCCCAAGTAAGTTTGAAAAATAGTGTTCCTAACCGAGTGGTTGCGAAGCAGAGATAGAGCGAAATGTTTCCCAAGCTCCAAATGAACATAAAAGCTTAGTTAAAAGTTATCCTTGGTTTGCAAATAATTATTATTGATGTCCTTTAGGGGCATACTATACTAAAAGCGTATTATAACATTATTTTTGAATAGCTTGGAAAAAATATTTGTGCGCCTTTTCGGAATACAGGAGGCCCCGGAACAGATGCGTGCCTTAGTGAAGCGCACAGTGGAGCATCGTGAAAAACATAATGTGGTGCGACGCGACTTTCTTCAACTTTTGCTCCAACTGCGCAACACGGGAAAAATAAGCAGCGATGATAACATGTGGTCCGCAGAGACGACAGCAGGTGATAGCTCCATCCATAACCCTTATATTCTGAAACTTATGTGCCCCTTTTTGCAGAGGGGTTGAAGTCGATGTCTGTGGATATGATAGCAGCCCAACTCTTCCTTTTCTATGTGGCGGGCTACGAGACTTCTGCTTCCACTACAGCATTTACGCTTTACGAACTCATGCAGAATGCCGATATCCTGAGAAAGGCGCGTGAAGACGTGCGTGACACGCTGCAGCAGCACAATGGCCAACTGAGCTATGATGCCATACAGGATATGAAGTATTTAGAGCTCTGCGTGATGGGTAAGTTGCTTTGAAAGACAATATATGGTGCAGTGTTTTTGGATAATGGGCGAGAAATTATTTCAAAGTCTAGTTTCAGTCTCGTAATTGAAGACTTGAACTTCAAGAAAATTGCAAGACTCGTTATCAGGGTTGTTGAACCGATCTTTCCCATTACAGCTATATAAAGAAATAAGTCTGTTATGATTCCAACGTTCTTGGTGTTCATACTGACGGACAATCGGGCATATGTAATGCTGATTATATATAGATATCTATCAAATTACACATGAGTGTAATTGAATGTTGAAAGACTCGATTTTCTTAGTTTACAGGGAATGAAATAAAGATAAAGTTTCTTTTATAAAAGCTAATATAGAAATAAATCTTTAAGCCTTTCAATGTTTTCTTCTTTTCCATTTATTGAAATTAATATTACATTAATATTTCTACACCATTTTCATAGAAACGGTTCGCAAGTATCCCGCACTTCCGATCCTCAATCGCGAGTGCACCCAGGACTATCCGATACCAGGCACAAAACATGTTATAAAGAAGGGCACACCCATCGTTATCTCATTGCTGGGCTTGCATCGCGATGAGGAATATTTCCCCGAACCGTTCTGTTATCAGCCGGAACGTTATATGGAAGAAAACAAGAATTACAATCCAGTGGCCTACATGCCATTTGGCGAGGGACCGCGTCACTGCATTGGTAAGACAATATAACTATTATTGGAGTTTGGAATAATACCCATTGTGTGTCTCATTACAGCTGCTAGACTGGGCAAGTTGAATGTTAAAATCGCGTTGGCCAAAATACTCTCCAATTTCAACATCGAACCCTTGGAGGAGAAACGCGAGATCGAGTTCAGCATACACGGTATACCGCTAATGCCCAAAGGCGGAGTGCCTGTGCGGCTATCGAAGCGTAAACTGGCCGATTAGGGAAGTCTATGATTGTTAAACGTGTTCTCTAAGCAATTTTATGTTCTTAAAATAAATTGAATACAAATTTTATATCTATTGAAATGTAAATATGGCTTACTAATAAAGAAATTGTTTAAACTTTCGAGCTCAAATCTAGACAATAGAGAAATTTAGCTGAGGCGTCAGTTAAACCACATACTAAATGAAATAATAAACTGTGAAGTTTATCTTTATCCAATTTAATGATTGTCCATGATGGACAGTTTTAAATAAAATACGAAAAAAAATAAAAAAATAAAAAAGTTACACCGGAAGCGAAGAAGTTATTTAAGAAGTGGAACAATCTTCGATGACGCCTAAGCGTCATAAATACCATCACAATTTTAATCTTCTAACCAACAAAATGCAAACCAATTATTTTCCCTATATTTATATCATAAAAGAGCTCTTACTTTCTATAATTTGTACTTGGAATGTATACAACCAGCACTTGATCAGTATGAAGAGACAAATCGATAAGCGCCATCCAATCCTGTAGTACATACTCTCAAAGTTTCTTTTATTTGCTATTGTAAAATATATGGCTGAATTAATACACACTAATGAATAATTAGGGGGTGATAATATTTAAGAAGCTTCGAGTTTTTGATGGCATTATGTGATTCGATGGCCAGCAGGACAAATTGTGTGATCATTCTAATTTTTTTAATTTAGTTTACTAAATATAACCGTAAAATCGGAGTGTTGCTAAGACACCTTTTTAATACCTGATGCAACCATAAGGTGGAGTTACCGAAAAAGTCGTCACGCAATTTTAATTGAAACTTGTTTTGTTTTTTTTTGCATTCGGCATCACACCTGATGCCAGATTGGAGCGTTAAATATCTGGTCAGACCAGCATTAACGCCTGCTTATCTGGTTGTTGTTGTTTCCTTTTTTGTAATCTTTAAACAAAAATAGAATTTTTTTTTATAATTTCAAGTATTTTCGATCCAATAAATGTAATTATTTTATATTGTGTACAGCAACAATTAATTTTGGTAAACAGCACGAAGAACAAAAAAAAATAGATGAAGTCTGTCGTGGTCAAACTATTTTTTCAGTACCAAGTATTTTGTTGTTTTTAGAGAAAAACAGAACAGATAGCAGGCACCGAGCATGTTATAAGGAAAGGCACACCCATCATTATCTCACTGCTAAGCTTGCATCGCGATGAGGAGCATTTCCTGGATCCGATGAGCTATCAGCTGGAACGGGAATTACAATCCTGAGGCCTTCTTGTCCTTTGGTGGGGGAACCACGCAAATGCATTGGCAAGTATCGTACTGCCGGCTATATCAACTGAAAATATGAAAACTTTCAGCCGGTGGCGTTGGCTAAAATCCGAATGGGACTTCCACATCGAATCGCGGGAGGAGAAGCGCAAAATCGAGTTCTCCAATCATGGCATACTATTAATGGGCGAATGTGGAACACAAGCTGTCTATGATTTTCAATAAAATGTCAATGCTTCCTTTAAACGTGAAAAACTGTCATTTGCCAATTAGTTGTATTCATTTCCCTCTCTATCTAAATTATGCGAAAACCCAATACCGCTGCAGTAGTCTTATCAGCGGCATCCGCCGTCGCTGCAGTACATGCAATGAGTATGACAGTCGAATTAGACATACTAATACATACATATGTATGTAGGTATGTACGTGGCTGCGTAGAACTGCTGTTTACTTTCTTTTGTTATGCGCTGTGCCGATGCGGTCTAAAATTTTCCATGGTGCGGGCAAAGAAAATGAAGATTTCATTTGCTGCTGCACTTTAGACAAAAACCAACAACAACAAATAAACACACAGGTACACAATGACAGAAAGGGCTACACACACACACACACTAACACACATAATGTACATATGACCGTATATGCATGAATGTGTGTAGTGCTATTGTAAATAGTTTTTCTGCGTACTCGCATTTCTTTTACATAAGGCGCACTCAATTGCGCCAATTTTTTAGAATAGAACATGGCTTACTTGTTGGGTATTCGTTGTATTTAGTTAGCTTATGGATTTTTAATGCACTTTTCGGCAATGACAACACAATATGGCGAAACTTATTGCTTCTTTCACTTTTTTCAGGCCAACTTTGTGTGTGGTTAGCACTGCGCCACAGATACACGGCTCTTAAACACACGATACGGGAAAAATATTGCACTGCACTTGACTAAATTCGTTGTCCGACGCGATAAACCGCAACGCGTAATAATTAAATTGCAATTTGAATACGAATTTGGCCTAAGAAATAGGAAATAAATACGACGAAAGAGCCAGCGGAATACGCTGCGCTTCCCATGCTGCGGCACACACAAGTGAACTGCGAGCAACGGTGTGGCAACGCTGTCACCATAATCAATGCAACTCTGTTGGCACATAAACATTCCCCCCATCTCTAGCGAGGCATAAATGTCAAAATTTTTTCTTTGGCAAAATCAATTAAATTAAGAGTATATTAAAAGTTCAGATCTACGTATTTGTGTCACATTTTCAGTGACCAAAAACAACAAAAAGAGGGAAAAACTATAATAAGAGCGCAGCGAAGAATCGCAGGCAGCAGGTATTCTCTGCTCTACAAACACCCCGACATCGAGTTCCACACACTCACACATATTCAGATTTTTTTTTACTTTATTTACAACACGTCGCAGTGTGCGTCCTGAACACGTACTCGTTGCGCCATAACAAAGGTAAATTACCGCATAGAGTCTATATAGGAAATAGGTACGATCAAACAGCCCCGCATATATGGACAGCAACAAGGACGAAGCCCAGCGCTGCATTGACATAGCAGTGCAGTCGCTGGCCGAGGGCAAGATAGAAAAGGCTGAAAAGTTTCTCCTCAAGGCAGATAAGCTTTATCCAACGGAGAATGCAAAGAGTGAGTGACCGAAGTGAACAGAGAACACGTCAGTTCTTGAATACTACCCAATATTTTGCAGAACTGCTGGAGCAGGTGAAGAGCACAACCAGCAGCAATGGCTATGCGGGTAAGACACGGCCGGCGGCTGCAACAGATGAACAGGACAGCGGTCCGCGCAAGCGCGTCAACTCGGATTCAAAGAGCAGTGCGCCCGACTATTCAAGCGAGCAATTGGAGGCAGTCCGCAAGATCAGAAAGTGTGTAGAAGTCTGAACCAAATGGACTCGGGTCCATCACTTTTTACATATACATATCTATGTTTGTTATAATCTATAGATGCAAGGACTACTATGAAGTGTTGGGTGTTACCAAAACCGCCACCGATTCGGAAATCAAAAAGGCCTACAAGAAGCTGGCGCTCCAACTGCATCCGGACAAGAATAAGGCACCGGGCGCGGTAGAAGCATTTAAGGCGCTCGGCAATGCTGCTGGCGTACTTACGGATGCGGAGAAGCGCAAGAACTATGATCAGTATGGCATTAATGAGTCGCATAGTGGACATGGCAATGGAGGCCATCATGGACATGGTCAATATTACAATGAGTATGGCTACTCGCGTGGTTTCCAAGCCGACATCAGTGCCGAGGAGCTCTTTAATATGTTCTTCAATGGCGGCTTTCCCCAGCAGAATGTGTACATGCGTCAACAGCGGCGCAGGCATCAGGCCCGCGACGATCGGGAAGTAAGTCCTTTTGAATTTTTCATTGTATCCACAACTATGGAGTGCTTACGTCCGTTTTATTTTGCAGAACAACAATTCCTCTGCTCTGATCAATCTACTGCCCATTCTGCTGCTCATTGGCTTGTCCATGATGTCGTCGTTCTTCATTTCGGATCCCATGTACAGCCTGTCGCCATCACAGTGGGTTTTCACAGCAAGCAAATTTTGGCTCAGATTATTTAGAAATTTTTATCTATGTGCAGTAAATATTCGGTAAAGCGTGAAACGAATGCGTTAAAGATACCATACTATGTGAAAGACAACTTCTACTCGGAGTACCAGGGCTCGGTGGCAAGGCTCGAGGAGTCGGTCGAGGAGGACTTTATCAATCATTTGAAACACTCGTGCAGTCGGGAGCGCAATTATCGTAAGAAGCAGCTGCTAGCAGATCTGTCCCTTAATCAAATGCTCGCCCCTTTCTATTTTCAGGCGACTCCATGTTGGCCAAGGCGCGCACCTTTGGCGATCGGGATCTGTATCGAAAGGCACAGAACATTAATACGCCATCGTGCGAGAATTTGCAAAAGTATTTAAACACATGATTTCAATTTCAATATCGTATGCGTTAAAGCAGAGAAATTTTTAACGTGATTCCTCGTTCTGTCTATTTTAATTTGGTTGTAGTTCCCCGCTTGTTTGTTATACATAAATGAATTATTGTTTCCCAATTGATTTTATTTGTTGTCAATCTTTAAAAAAAACTTGGACTCTGCCACTTCTGGCATCGGTATTCCAGAAATTTATCCCAATACTATATCCAGTGCTAGTTCATACACCATATTCAAACCACAATCGGAAAGCAAATCTACTGCCAGGAGTCAAAATATGGTCGAGCTGAATCATACAAAAAGTCTAGTTAAATCGTTAACGCCTACATATGCAATATTTACACCTGCGATAGTCATATTGTGAACGATTTTCAAATGAATACAACTCAATAGTTATTATTTATGAGTAGTACAATAAATGTTCAAAATAAATACATAAATTAAACAATCATAGATAGATTGTGTTCTGTAACGTCTATTATGATCGGAGCTTGGAATTAATTGGAATATAAGTTATAAAAAGAGAGAGGAATTGCGAAAATTGAGAGTTCAAAGTTTATCTTTTTAACAAATTCGGGGACATAAGTTGATTTGAAGAAACCGAACTAAAATGGTTCGGCTGTTTCAACTTCGAAGTTAATATCTAATTTTAATAATATTAAATTTGAATTATGTAATTATGCCAACGTTAATTAGAAATGATCTCAAAATTTAGTTTGAAAGGGCAATTTGAATTATTGTTTTGATTTCGGAGGCTGTAGAACTTTCACTGCGCATTTCCCAAGCCTAATTTTACATTCGAGTGTTTTTCAATCAAGTGGAAATTGTAGCACCGATTGTTCGATGTTTAAAGAATACATAAAGAATTGTTTTAGAAATCGATGCAGACTTCAAACATAAGCTTCGTATTGGTTACAAATTTCGGCTTCTTAACATACAGTATTTTTAATTGAAAACAATATTAAATTAGAAAAGTGAGAGGAAATCACAAGACTATTAAATAAACAAAAATATCTCTATGCGGACAACAAATTCATTTCTGCATTTTTGTGAAAATTGAAGCTTGTTCGCCACTTTGTAGATATTAGCGACTTCCGCCACATTTTCTAGAATTGCACAAACATCTAAATGGATATCCGTTGCCTAATTAGTCGATGAAGATACATTGACCTAAGCATGGAGCGATTACCAATTGCTTGGGGATTAAGGAGTTGTTTGGTTTTTCTTTTCTTTACTAGTTATAAATGTACAAATAAACCATTGTAATGCTATAAAGAAACAGACGGCGCCGCTTGTACAAATATCAGCCTGCTATGCGGTCGCACCTCAACTGTTGATGATGGCCTCTAATGCGGCCACCACATCGCCGCTCTGCTCACGGAGCACCTTCTCGGCCTGCGCTTTGCTCACCAGCAGCTCGTTCATCTGCATTGATCACAAGGGAAATTATTTATGTCGTCGGTATATGGATTTGAGGTATACTTACAATCAGTTCAATATCTTCCTTTTTCACCTGCACTTTCTGCAGCTCCTTCTCCTTGGCCACTCTCAGCTCGTTCTCTTTGCTGCGCTGGCTACCAAACTGTGCTACTGCCTGTAAATTGTGGTCATATAGTTAGGGATTAGTCACTCAATAGCCGATTATAAGTTATTTCTTACGCTCGATATATTTGCCGCCGAGATTTCTTTCTCCTCCGCATAGTCTGTAACACGTTCTAAGTCTTGGGCTTCCTGTTTCTTCTGCTTTTTGTGTGTCAGGTCCTCCTCGGTGCCGTTGACTTCAACGTCGGGCTCTGTTTCCACCATGCTGTGGCGTTGCTTTTATTGAATATTCTATAAATGTTAACAATTTTCGAGGAAAACTTTGGGCTGCTCTCCTCGTGCGACTGCCACAACAAGCGTTGCCAGCTGGCTGCTAAAATGTGACACTCTACTGGTATGGCAGCGCTCGTGAACTTCCAGTTCACCATGAGCACTGCCAACTTGCACGAAAATATAGCAGCCTTCAAGCCCGCGCTATTCAAATTGCTTCACAACCAAATGAACAGTAGAATTAATAAAGCCAGTAGATATAGTGTCATTCTGAAATGTTTGGTATTTTTACGCCAAATTTTGAGAAAAACATTTTATTTTTGAGTTAGTAGGAAAAGCGTAAACTTTTAAACAGTGTTCGTTATCGTTAGTAATTTATAGCTGTAATGTCTAAGTTTATTTATATAGTATGTACTTGATAATCGCAACAAAAGGAAACTCACTTATTGAAGTTGTTTAACTGAAAAATGATAAATGAAAGCCTTTTTATGGCGCAGTAAACTTCATTCTTATTCGAAAATGTAAGTTTTGCACATATTTGTTATTTTTGTCTGCATTTATTGTCTTAAGAAATATAATGTCTTTTATTGGAATATAATTTTCATCAGCACACAATGCTTTGTTTATTTAAGAACACAAAATCCAGGAATTGCATGTATCGAAGGCCAAAATTATTCATATTCTGTCAGAAATGATAACATCAACTATGTACTATATATAAGTAAGCTTGTTGGACTTGAAATTTGTGCTATTAAGGTCGGCTGTTTTGGGTTTATTTCCATAAATTAGCTAATGTTAATAGCATCGAACTGTTTGAAAATATTCGTTTACAGTGTATTTTCCTGGATTGCCACAATCTGTCCTCCATATTTTTCACACAACTGTAGCAAATACAATAACAGTGTTATTCTCTTGCAAATGGGTTATTTTTTAATAAAACCTTTCAAAATTTTGAAATTTCAACTTGTATATTTTTTTTGAATATTTAATGTGCCATTTAATTTATCTGCGTGCATGCAATATGTTTATGTACATATATATATATTTTATTAAAGTTTTGCAGCACATCTGAGCCACAAAACTAATTAAAAATGTCTCTTCTGGGTCCTTGGTTGTGCCTTTTGCCTAGTTTCCATTGCTCAGATGCAATTTAGTTGCGGTCAAAATTTTAATTATAAGTTTTATGCCACACATAATGAGATTTTTGAGCAAGCCACAGGCAGAGAACATCCCAAAGCTGCCACTGTTGCTGCTTCTATTTCTCGGACACGGTGATCCAGTCCCAGCCTCCTAGATTCGCCGTTGTTGTACGCTGTTGATGGCGCTGATTTCTTTTTCAAGTCCGTGGGTGGGCTGCAAGTTCCAAAGCATTGCTTCTCACTTGCGAATCATGTACGAGTACAGTGGCTCAGATTCGTAATATCATTTAATATTTAAAACAATAAACTGTCAGAGTTTTTATACTTAAATAAAGCAGAATGTGTGTTTAATTAAATTGTATACCTATTCCTATTTTCAAATGATGTACGTACGGCTTCGATTTCGAGCGAAGGTTTGTTTAAACGATTACCAAGCTTTCTTATTAATTATGAAATGTAATTTATCAAATTTCTTATTTCGGAAGACACTTTTAATTTTGAAAAGTAGAACTTTTGCAACAAGAAAACAATGGTTTATGGAAATTAGGAACATTCTACCTACACCAAAAGCCGATTAACTATTTTAATATTTTACAAAATATCAAATACAGTGAAAACTCTCTTGGCCGGACACTCACGGTCGGCCAATTTTTATCCGCTTAAAAGGAGTGTCCGCTTAAAAGATACTTAAATACTTTATACATAGATCGAATGTTTTACAAAAAGTGTCCGCCGAAGAGAGTGTCCGGATAAAAGAGTTGTGCGTTAAGGGAGTGATCACTGTATATTGATGGTATGATAAGGACCTTGCCATCGAACTTTTAACTGCCAAGCGATATAGTGACGATAGTAGTTCACAGTTGCGAATTTTTGTTTCGAGAGAGCACGGCCTCCAAAACCTTGAATTGAAATTGAATTCCAGATTCCAGATCTTTACACACAACCTTTTCTCCGGAATCTCTGACCAGGATCGGCTGTGAGACTAGACATAGCTTGCCGGACTGGCTAAAAAATCTTCCTCCACCAGGTCTGAGATTCCAAGAATTTTTTTCTCATTTTTTTCTTTTTAAAATTAGCTTTTAAGTAATTCTAAGCCTCTTCTCTCTGTTAAAATTCTTTTTTTTTTATATCGGTAGATCTATTGACGCCTCTGACCTTACTTGGCTGTGAGACGGGCCCAGCTAGCCGAAGGGCAAATAATATTCCCCCACCGGGTCGGAGGCATTGATAAGATATTATTGTAATTTGATTATTTTCTTCTTCTTAGGCTTTTCTAGCTTATAAGGTGATTTTCATAATTTTTATATATTTCCTATGTCGACAGTCAATGTTTGTTGACATAAATAAATAAATATTTAAATTCGGAGTGTATATATTTAACAGTCATCTCTACCAAGTTGTTTTACACATTCCAACTTCAGAGCTGGACAGATTTTTGGTCAACAAATCCGGCCATACTGCCCTCTGTGGACGCTTCGCTTCGTACGTGGGTAGGCGGTTGTGTGTAGCCAAGTCTGTTGACATAATCGTTTGCCATCATGATTAATTTAATTGTCACTTTGACGTAACGGCATGTAGTTCATATCCTTGCTGGACATGCGCGCTCCCGTCCACCCTCTGCCCCAGAAACTGAACGTGTCGCTGCTGAAAATCAAGATTAATTAGCATCCATGACCATGGGCGGTCAACATCATTTGTTAGTGGGTGGCATTTGATGTTGGCATGTGGAAGTGTAGGAACGACACATGTGCTTTGAATTTAATGCGATTTTATTTCATTTTATTTAGTCTGACGCCGTTTTTTGTTTGTTTTTTTTTGATTTGCTTAAATTTAAGGCCAATAAAGTGGGAATCGCTCGAAATTTTATGGCTACTACGCCTCAGCGTCTGCTCCCATTGGTGTGGGCGTCTCATTTTGCATTCAGAGCGTGATCGTGGAAGCCCGGCCAAAAAATCTGTTTACCGCAAAGTCACGAATTGCTGGCATGGCGTGTGTGCTGGTGTGTGTGTTGTTTTGTGGTGACAGTTTTATGATTGTATGCGCAACAGGCCAAAGAATTCGAGCACTGCATTGTTTCCTCATAACCTCCGCATATGTATAGTATCCACTCGCGTTCCTTTTATTTGCGCGTTGCCAATTTTCAATGGCAAATTAAATTACGACGCTAATTAGGAGGCCGTATCACACACACACACATGAATTACGTTGCCAATTTTCGGTCACATTGTGCGTTACCATTGCATAGCTTTGGGCGCGCAGCCTGCCTGACTGCCAGCCAGCCAAACGGTCTAAGTGCCAGCTAGTGATGTGCACATCGAGTTTAAAACAACGATGCTAATCACTGGACATTGTCCGCAAGGAACTACGACACACTAGTGGGATATAAGTACAGTTATTTTTCCATGTTCGGAATGCGTCCAATTTAATGGTTCATCGAACTGAACTAGTGAGGTGACAGGGCTATCGATTCAGTGGTTCTCTAGTTCAGTTAGCGTGCGCTTAAAAAATCAGTTTGACAATTTACTTACTTTTTGAACGTGTTTGTTGTATTTCATTTCGATGGCCAATAACTTTAAATTGAAATGCGACTTAATACAGCTTAAAATATTAGAATTGTCATTCAAACCGCATTTAAAGGCAATGAAAGGAAAACGTAATCAGTCCATTAAAAATAAGATTAAAGTAAACATAGAAACTCCTTACAGTTTTGTGTTCCATAAATTTTAAATACATACAAACATAATATACCCTTAGGGCACAGGGTATAACTATGTTATGGTGGCTTGGGGAAATGAAATTAAAACGCCACAGAATCGCGAGTAGCAGGTGTTAGGTGTTAAATAAACGCTTTTCTGAAATCATATGTTTCGATATCCTTTGTCGACGTAATTTTTACAAGATGTGCTTAAATGCCTTTATCATTCGGTTGTTGCATGCCCAGCATTTTGTCCGAACTAAGTTCGATTTGATCGAAACTTTCACTAAATTCCTCTGTCATGCGCAGCATTTTTTCGCACACAACTTCGTATAAAAGCCGATCGTGTAGTTTCTCTTGATATAATGCCAATTTAGCCAGATAATCCAGCTGGTATTGGTACAGGGGTCGAGCTTTAAAAAGGCGCCGTGACTCGACTATCTGCGAGAGGTAACCGTACATATGAGAGATACAAGGATCATTCAATCCGACAGCTTACCTCGTTTGGTTCGGTTAATGACACTTTAAGAACCAACGCAATTGCTTCAGTCAAGGTTGAAGGTTTATTTTGCTTCCTTGCGATGCACAGCGCCACAAATGTATCACAGATACCTCCCAGTTTAACATTATGCACAGAAAGTAGTTGGTTACATATTCGATGGCTATAGTGGACAATTTTCCGGGGATGATCTGCTTCTAGCAATTTGCGCAAATCCTTAAATACGACATATAATGCCTGCATATCAAAAATGTAGGTGTTGTTGGCCGTCGCAACCACGATGACGGATGTCCTCTGGTGATGTCCATAAAAGCTTGGCTCGAATATCATAGAAACGATGCTTTGATCGCGTATATCTTGCAATGCGCAATGATAGTTCTTATCGGTTTGATTTATATAAACCAGCTGTTGTATCTTCTGATCAATGCTATCCAGTTCGTGGGGCAGCATCGATGTAAGCGGCGCCGAGATCTTTGAAATATCCATGTCACTGTGAGAGATCACACTAATGAAGGAGTCATTATCATCAGTGGATGAGCCTTCGTCCGAAAACCGCGATGCGTCGTTCTTCCACTGCCCACATCCGATTAGCTTCTCAGCCTTCTTTTCTGACATGATTGACTGTAAACGATGGTTACGCCTGAAACAAAATGGTTTATCAAATCACATTTCCCAAACACCCACACAAACATATACATTTAAATACCTTTATTCGCAGTCTTTAGGTAAATCCTTTAACTTTAAAAGCACGCAAACGCTAGAACAAACGAGCTTAGCAGAAATGGCAAACTGTTTCGATGTTTGTGATGTTTGGGTTGTAAAAGAACATCGATTTCTTGGTCATCGTCGATGTTTTGATAATGATACTCGATTTTTTCCGATACACGATAAACGCGATCATCGATGCAAAAACATAGAAAGCTCAATTTTAACAGGAACTCAAAAGCAAACGGAATCTTGTTGGAGACCCAACAATTAAAATTAAATATAAGTTTCACATAAATAGCGGAAAAAAACGTTTTTTTTTTATTTTTTATAAATAAATTGAACCATCGATTTTCTGTCGGAATACAATCGATGGCACTTGGCGATAGATCGATGCTTTGTACTTTTTTTACAGCACTTATTTAGAGCTGAGAAACATCGATTGCATACGAGTTCAAAGTTTCGGCGCTGAAGGTAAAGTTATCGGAATAGCGTAACGTCCTGGTAGTAAGGGTGTGTTTGAAATGGATCTGTAAATGTTTTGTAGGAATTGCTAGTGGAATTTTTCGGAATTAAGTTCACTTTTTAAATAAGATAGCTAATAATATATTGAGATTAAAATTAATGCAGAAAAAAGGTGCACCACCATCGAAATGTTGGCTATACATCGAAATTACTTGCGTCTCTACCAGTCCCAGCTCGGATGCCTCCTGCGTGTGCTGAATAGCGTTAAAGCTCACACAGTACATTTTTTTGGGGCTTTGGTGTTGGTTCCGGAATGTTTTTTGACTTTTTTTTCTGTTTCCATGCTGCTGGTCGTGACGTAATTGACTTGCATTGTTTGTTTGGATGGTTGGCGCATTGGTGGTTAATTTTAAATGTTTATATTTATTTCGAATGTGCCCCAAATGGGCAGATACATAGCAGTGTTTGCAATGACGAGCTCTATTGACACATTCTGGCTTTATAATAATTCGATTATTTTGTATGCTGGTGGATTGAAGCTCGTTGGCTCTTCTATATCTCTAGTGGTTTAGGTCGGTCAGTGAGTAAAAGTACGAGTAGCTTTACATATTATTATTATAAGGGGGAGAGAAAGGAAAATTAGCTGCTTCCTACAAGAACAAATAGTGCTTCTCTCAGAATAAAACATAAAATAAATAAAAAAGTTTCTATCCGTTCTACTCCTAACCCTTTATTGGTTTTAAATGAAAAATGGGAGTGAAGAGAATTGATGGACTCAATACTTGTGATTATTTGTAACATGTCCTTAATCTGATCTCTCTATGTCACCCTGTTCGATAAATATGGGATATTTCGATAGCACAAGTGCCGATTTACTTTGACAAGTGAAGTCGCTTGAATATAATCTAAAATTTCGTTTGCGCAAAATGAATCCTTTTGGCATTCAAGAATATCCCGATTACCCAATATCTGGGGCAATGCGATACGAATTTTCACCCTACGAGTCAAATGGCGGGTAAGCGCACAATTCATAGAGAATTTCCATCACTGCCTCAACATTTCAATTGGATTTCGGTTTAGTTCGATTGTTGGCATTGCCGGTGACGACTTCGCAGTGATTGCCGGAGACACGCGTCTGAGCAGCGGCTATAACATCCATTCCAGCACTCAAAGCAAACTATTCCAGCTTGCGCCGCTGACAGTGCTTGCCTCCACGGGCTGCTGGTGCGACACCCTGTCGCTGATAGGCCTGATGAAGGTGCGCTTGCAGATGTACGAGAACACCCACCTGAAGGTCATGACCACCGATGCAGTGGCCCAATTGCTCTCCATTACCATGTACAACCGTCGCTTCTTTCCCTACTATGTGAGCAACATATTGGCCGGCATCGACAAGGAGGGCAAGGGCGTCATCTACTCCTATGACCCCATCGGTCACTGCGAGCGCACGACCTATCGAGCTGGCGGCACGGCCGGACCTTTGTTGCAGCCCGTGCTGGACAGTCAGATTGGCTTCAAAAATATGGATTCGACTGAGACCCAGATGCCGAAACTAACGAAGGAGCGAGCTGTGAGCATCGCCTCCGACACTTTCATATCGGCCACTGAGCGCGACATCTACACTGGCGACTCCGTGCTGATCAACATTATTACCAAGGATGGTGTTGAGGTCAAGCAAATGAAATTGCGCAAGGACTAGTTGCCTGCATAATTTTTTGCTTATTTATAAATAGAATAAAACTCGGTTCTTCATTGAATGCTTGATTTAAGTCTTCTTAGAATTATTAACACTCTTGGACAATATTGTTGTATGTAGATTTTAAACAACTAATCACTTGAAGGGACAGGAGGATATTGTTTGGCACATCAGGATTATTTACACTTCGTGGAAGTTTCCGAGTTGTCTGCAAAGAATGATTTTTGGGAGCACATATGCAGCGGAATTCATTGGACATCTTTCTATCCTGCTCTAGGATAATCTAACTTATAGGATAGATACGATATTATTCTGACCAAACTTGTTCTTGGTTCTAAAATTGTCTTTCGAACATTTTGAACAAGTCTACATTCCAAGCTTGGTATCCAAGTTAAGAAAACTATTTTGTTAAATCATTTGTTTACCGTTAAAAGTTGTGAATGTTTCTTTTATTACAAGTTTTTGTCATATATCATGTAGTTCTGAGAATAGACAGAAAATAGGCTTTAGTATTTACACAGAAAGAAATACTTTCCAATTGACATTAAGAATACCCAAGGGTAACCAAGATATTTTTCAAAAAGGCTTTTAAAAAATGTTTCGTTCAACATTAGAAAACGTTTTCTCAAAATTACAAAATTAAAAATTGTGAAAATGCATCTTTTATTACTGTTTTTTGTTATATAAGAACACGTAAGGGTAACCAAGATATTTTTCAAAAAGGCTTTTAAAAAATGTTTCGTTCAACATTAGAAAACGTTTTCTCAAAATTACAAAATTAAAAATTGTGAATATGTACTTTTATTATTAATTTATTATTATTATTTTATTATTTTATATTACTGGTTCTTGTCATATAAGAACACGTAAGGGTCACCTAGATATTATTCAAAAAGGCTTTTAAAAAATGTTTCGTTCAAAATTAGAAAACATTTTCTCAAAATTACAAAATTAAAAATTGTGAATATGTATCTTTTATTACAGGTTCTTGTCATATAAGAACACGTAAGGGTCACCAAGATATTTTTCAAAAAGGCTTTTAGAAAATTGTTGTTTGAAAGAGCTTTTTTCAAAATTACAAAATTTTTTCTGGAAATAAAACCGAAATTGACGATATTTTGCAAAATTTTTCGCTTGAAAGGATTTTAAAAATTCTATGTTACGGAATCATCCAAGAAGATATCTAGAAATAAACATTTTTACAACTGTTCTCAAGAAATATACTAGATGTATTTTCTAAAATCTTAAGCAAATATTGTTGAGATATGTCATCTGTTTAGTAAACGGAATATTTCCGACGACGGTTGGTTGTGAAGGTCTGGGACAGAGAACCCGTCCGGCTTGTTGTCATCTTGACAAGTCCTGTCACTGTTATGTTTTTCACTTTACTGTGTGAAATAGTCCTTGCTATTTGGATTGCTTATCTGAAAGCCATTTCCAATGTCTGTTCGGGGCTCTAGCGTAGGGGATCTTGCGCAAATAGATCAGATGATTCTACGCCTTCTCGAAGCACGCAACTCGAAAGCTCTTAAGCTTGTGGAGCCGGATATACGCGCGATATGCCTGAAGTCTCGGGAGATTTTCCTGGACCAACCCATGCTGCTTCAACTCGAAACGCCAGTGAAGATTTGTGGCGATATCCATGGCCAGTTCTCGGACTTGCTGCGACTTTTTGATCACGGCGGCTATCCCCCCGCATCGAATTACCTTTTTCTGGGCGACTACGTTGACCGTGGCAAGCAATCCATAGAAACGATAACACTGCTGCTGGCTTACAAAATCAAGTTCCCCCACAACTTTTTTCTGCTGCGTGGAAATCATGAGTCTGCAAGCATCAATCGCATCTACGGATTCTACGACGAGTGCAAGAGAAGGTATTCCATCAAGCTGTGGCGCACCTTCGTCGACTGCTACAACTGCATGCCGGTGGCTGCAACTGTGGGCAAAAGGATCTTCTGCTGCCACGGAGGTCTTAGTCCCGACCTGCACAACATGACGCAGATCTTGAATTTGCCTCGGCCCTGCGATGTGCCCGACAAGGGTCTGCTGTGCGATCTACTCTGGGCTGACCCCGATTCCAAGATCATGGGTTGGAGTGACAACGATCGCGGGGTGAGTGTCACCTTTGGTGCGGATGTTGTTGGAAAATTTGTGCATCGCCACAACTTGGATTTGGTGTGTCGTGCCCACCAGGTTGTGGAAGACGGCTACGAGTTTTTTGCCAAACGCCAGCTAATCACCATCTTCTCAGCCCCAAATTATTGCGGCGAGTTCGACAATGCGGGCGCCATGATGACCGTAGATGAGGCACTGATGTGCTCCTTTTTTGTGCTCAAGCCATCGAAGAAGCCCGGTATGCGCAAGGTTAAGCTTAAGGCTTGAAATATGAAGTATTTTATGCTAAAAAGGACTGTTTATAAGAACGTAGGCTATTCGTCCAGTTGGGTTCACTGTCCGTATTGTTCAAGAATCAATAAAGTCTTTTCTATAATCGAAATATCGAAGTCTAATCTCAAATAGCTACTGGGCTTAGAAATATTTATAGATGTAGCTTCTTCAAATCCACGACAATAGATGTATAATTTGAGAATAGAGTTGTTTTTTGTTTTTCAATATTTTAGTGAAGCCTGTCGCAGAATTTCGAAACAATGTAAACATCATTAAAATGAACCTTCCGTCTTCGACTTCAATTTATTTGCTTCTCTTGCCAAACATTATTTAAAGAATTGTGAAACGACACTTTCGTATGGGCCATTCAGTTTGAAGTCCATGAGCAAAGTACGAGTATAATTTTAGCCACAAGCTGAAAATGCATGTCCATGGTCGCAAATCTGTGTGTCTGTGTGCTGTTCATGGAAGGCTGATGGGAGGACCTCGATATGAATCGATATGCATGACATTTCATGGCTGTCGGCGACCTGATCCTGACAATGCAGTCAATAAATAAATTTGCATAGCAAATAAATTAAGAAAATGCAATTTTCAAGAACTGTTGCATACACACAGGACATAGGACACAGGACAGCAGGCTCCATGCCAGCCGAAGGACACACACATTCGGACAAACAGAACCAAAATAGTCGGCCATGTGCATAAAATTTAAATTTTCGCTTGCCGATTCAAGGACAGGAGATTGGCAAGTGATTTAAAGTGGACGAGTGGAAGGACTGGGCCCAGTTGCATGCATAATTGGCTACCAAGTCAATTACGTTAATAACACCAGCCATGATTTCAACCCCAATGCGCTTGATTGGCCACATAGGCAGGGTTGGGGCTGACTGAGCCCGACTGCGGGCTGCTCCACTCTCAGTAAGTACGAGTATGTGCTTGTCGCCAAACTTTACTTTATTCGCAAATTGTGCAAAAATAATTGAGCCATTGAGCAGGCGCTCGAATGGTCAAATGTTCAAATGTTGCTGTAACTGTAACTGATACAAAAACTTGATCCTTTGGCCCCAAAAAGGATGCGACCCACACTGGTCGCTACTGCTGTATTTTGTGGACAAAATTATGAGCGGCATTAGGAATATTTGCAAGACTATTTAGTAGACTATACAGTTTACTTTACATAAGAGGAATATGTAGGAATAGCAATTGCTTGTTAGTTTCAGATCCTAAATAAACTGTCCTTAGATTTACTTTTGAAGAAGACTTTCCAATATATAAATATAAGTTCCTTACAAATTGATCACGCTTTTTCAGAAGCAACTTGTCTCTAAGAAAATACAATACTAGCTACTTTTTGAATCAGAAATTCAGATGTCTCTGTACTAGGAACTTGAAAATGTCTTCTGTTTTCAAAATGTTTCAAATGAAATTGGAAAAATTGTATAACTTAACTATGTAAATTTTAGGATACTCTTGATTATTAAAATTATTCAGATTAAAACATAACTTTGTACTGAACATAATTTAAGTTTTAAACAGCATTGACTTTAAAAAAAAAAGTTGATGATTGATCAAAAACTCATTTAAATGACAAAGGCTTAAGGCATCTATAAATAGAAACGGGTATTTACAGGCGAAATTTTGAAATACGTCTAGTTTATTTAATGGATACTTTTCTTTTCAATTTGTCAGAATGGAAATGACAAACTATAAAATTGTAAATGCGAACTGTTTGGCGGGTAAAACACAATTCCTAGAACTGTATATTGTTTTATGCCAGCTTTCTTTTTGGGGAGCATAAGTACTAGAACGAAATTGGAAATACAGCAAACATATTTGTGTTGTATGTCTATTGGTACAGCGAAATTAAGTTTTTTAAGCAACGACTTATGCGCACATTTTTTTTTTGTTCTTCCCAACTTCTTCTTCTTGAACAGAGTGACCAGAAGGGCCAAACTCAAAATACTAAACAATAACGATAAATTTCTTAATACTAGTTTTCGCAGCGACAATATTGACAAGAAAATACCTCAGCAACAAACATAATCATAAACATTTGTTGAGAAATTGGCGATAAAAAGTTGTAGAGCGTCTGCAGGAATTCAGTAAATCGGTGATCCGCAGGAAGGCTGATCAGGGAACACAATTATTTGCTGGGGAACGCGCAACAGAGGAGCTCCTCAAATTGGGCAAGTCGTTTAATATTCACTGTTATCTTTAAAATTTCCCATAAAGTTGACTTTTTATCAAAGTTACATTTGCATCTTTGGGCTCAACACAATCTCTTTTATGTTTTAATTCTAAATAGGAAAAAATGTTATTAAATTTAAGACAAAACTACTGATACACAATCTGTTTTATGTTTTAATACTAAATAGGAAAAAATGTTAATAAATTTAAAAATTCCAAACAAAACTACTGATGCACACGTGATCAACAAAGTACTACATATTTCTCTGATATATTATCACCAAGGTATCGTACTATTAATCAAATAATTAAATAATTATGATCAGCTATCAAAAATCCCATTGCCTTTGTTGTTATTGTTCCAATGTGGATGAAGAAAATTCTTCAGATTTTTGTAAATTTATAAACTGCTTGATAATAATTTAGGAAGTACAGTAGAAGGCAGCTAAGTCAGTCCCTGTTTGGCTATATTGTTGATTCAATCTAGCAATACTTACATTTTCCGTTGTCCATTATTAATGTGACCAATTAGCTAAAACACAGTGAAGCTACATTTTTACCGGCGACTGTGACTTTTTCTCAGAAAATACTAAAATCACAATATTTTTATAAAACGGTCACCAGATCAAAATCAAGAATCGGCAAACATAAATCAGAAATCAGCAATGATTTTTAAAATCTGAATGCCCTGTCGCAGCTCTACTTCAACAAATGCTGATTCAAATATCGATAGATATATTTAAATAACCTAACCACTGTACGAAGCTCACTTGTGTGTAGTTGTGTGTGTGAGTGTGTGTGTGTATGTGTGTGATTGTGTCTACGTCTGTGTCGCGACCTATTGACGACCTTTATCGCACTGTACTCGTACATAAACCATAATCACAATTGGCAAGTGGCTACTCGAAGCTTGGCCAAATGCTCTTGAGCATTGTCATGCTTCGCAGGACACTGCCAGGACGCTGGACACACTGCTTGGTTGCCTCTCCATTCTCGGCGTACAACGCACACATCGGAAGCGCTGGTCATTCATTTAAAACTTGTCTGCAACTTGCCAAGTTGCCACACTAGCACACACTCGAGTGTTTGCACCTTAAGGTGTGTGTGTGTGTGTGTGTGTGCGTTTGTACGTGTGTGTGTGTGTGTGTGCCGTAAACTCTTCGCTTCCGTTTGAAAGACCGCACTCCCCCCCTTGACGCATTTTGCAACTTTTGCGTTTAACAATTTCGCTTCCTTCCTTTTGGTAAACGGCGCCAGGTTGTCGTGGAAATTTGTGGAAATTCGTTTTAATCGTCATCTTTGCTATCTACGTAAGCGTTTCTTCCCTTTACCAGCAAACAGCAAACGGAGCAAAAACAACAAAAAAAAAAAAGAAAAGAAAAAGAGACATCGCCGCAGGTTCGTTGACGTTTCTCCGGGTTGGTTCGGAAACCGCTGCGCCTCGCTTATCGATGGCCTGTTCAATATTTTATTAGTGTCGTTAGCTGCGACTATACACATGGCCAAATACACACACACATACGCACACACACTCACACACTGCACATACCTAGGCAGTCTGTAAGGGTCTGAACTTTCAGCTTGACTTTGATTTCTTACTTGGGCGCGCAATAAATTTTTATTTGCCTGTAGGTTAGTTAAGTTTAGTCGAGGAAATTGTTACAATTTAGCGGACTTATTTAAATGGAGCCATTTACATAAGTTCTTCTCCACAACGGCACATTATAGGTGGGGGGTACAAGTAAATTTTATTACGCATACCATACATCGGGTTGGCACAGAAAGAGATTAAAGTGCTGAAACAGTAAATTGAGTGCGTGAGCCTCATAGGGGGCTTTTCATAGAGGCGAACTTAAAATACTTATAAATATTGTATGTACCCATATTTTAATATAAAAGCCTTGCTGTCTAATTAAAGTAAAAAGATTACTTCACAATTTTACCTTATTGCAAAAAAACAATTGGAAAATTACAAAATTTGACGAACTGAATGTTTTCAGTAATGGTTTTAAAGGTATTAAGAAATATGATTAGTATTAAGAAATACTTGCCGCTGATTTATAGAATCCGTAAAGAAAGAAGAAAGAATGAAAGAAAACTACTGTGCTAATCATTTGTCATTTGAAAAGAGGATTCGCTTCAGTACTGCATTGGGTTTATGAAACCTACAGCTACAACAATTCTTTGCAGCCATAGCCCAATTGAAGTCATAGTTTAATTAAAACGATTAATACCTAAATCTACATAAATCTCTTTTATAATTATATTTTCTCTTTATCTCCCAGCAATTTCCATGATCTTCCATCAACTCTCCATTATGTAAATCATTGCATATCTACACATTTTTATAAATTAAGAAAATTATAAATTTGATTAACAAAAACATCATCCTTGTATTTGTTAACATGTTCGATGCAAATATTGTAGAATTAGTGAGTCATCTAAGTTGCTATTACTTATTTGTTTCCTTATTATTATTAATCAGATCAGATATTTTGTGAAAAATAGTTGACCCAAGCTTTAGAGACCCCGAACTGGTTACCACATCAGACTGGAATATATAAGTCAGGCTCATTGTGAAAACAGGCGAGTATGGAAAGAGGGTTCAACTTCAAACTGGTACAATGGCTTCGGAATCATATTATCTTTCCATCTTAAAAAAGAAATGATAATGGGACAAGATGATGAGTGGTAATAGAATTTAAGACAAGGTTTTAAAATATAATATATTTCAGAAAAATGAATATACATATATATGTAAGTAAAGCTGAATGTTAAAAAAGTTTATCCAAAAGCTACCATAA